ATTTTCAAGAAGGGCCTTCTTCGCCAAAGTTTGCCGACTTTAAAGCTGTAGTCTGTCAGCCGAAAGAGACGGTTTTCAAGAGGGGAGGCGAAATCGTTTCGGGCTTGTGATACGTTTCGGGGGGGTGGGTTTAGGATGTTAGAAGTTCCAAAGTCCATTTTTGTCACGAAATTATCATGTGATCAACGCCAAACACCAATATCGATCCAAGACCCAGCCTTATCGACTCAACAACTCAGCTCAATGTAAGCTCTCCCACTTGTCCGCGAACCTTTTTCATGATGACGGCTGATCGCACCTTAACTCGGAATGACTTCTCACTTGCTCGTCTCCTCTTGGCGGCGCCCTCCTACCCTCCATCCAGACGCCGCCGTGTCATATTCGCCTTCTTTGGCAAACAACCGCATTGCTACTGCCTCGGCCGTCTGTCGCGCTGCCTCCCGGATTGCCCTTTCTCCTAGGGTAAAAGGAGAGTAAAAGAGGTGCCTGTCAGAATGCTTGCAAGGCTTGGAGGCTGCTCCGTCCCAGATACACGGTGTCCACACTTCGTCGAACCGAAGCAACGCTTCATCTTCCCGTTTTCCTCTTCCAAGTCCATCTCCTAGCCCGCTTGCCCGCAATTGCGACTCGATGATAACCTCCTTGACAAAACTCGTCGTGTTTGTGAGAAGTCCGGCGCGGCGGGGATAAGGTACGAGGAGAGTTTCGTCGCTGGCTCTGCCTTTGCCGGAGGACTTTCCAGTTGGACTCCAGAGTCCGAAATACGGCTTGCCTTCAGCGTCCGTAGGCCGCTTGGGAACGTCCGTGTCATCGTGCGCTGGCTCGGGATCGGCAAGGCGGGTCCAGGCGTCCATGCGGCCGATGACTTCGGAGTTCCAGTAATCAACAAGGAATGCGGCATTGACCATATGCTCCGCCTTGCTGTGTGGAACGGGAGGTGTGGGGCGTTGGGTGTGCCAGCCCGGAGTCAATGATAAATCGAAGAGTTCGGGAATGACGATGCGGAAAGACTCGACGGTATCAGCCGAAGGGTTGCCATTCAAGCTCTCTAGAAGGGATGCATTGGTGTAGGCCCAAAAGTCTGAGTAGGCAGGGGAGTCCACCGACAAGGACGCCTTGTAGAGAAGCTCGATCTGACTGAAGAGATGCTCGACCATATTCTGTACCAAACCCCGGGACACTTCGCGAGGCAAGGCTGCCAAGGTCCAGATGTCCCACGTGCCGAAGCTAAAGACCCATATAGTCTCTTTAGGCGGGTTGGTCTGCTTTGGGCCCTTGAGAAATTGGCTGACTTGGTGCGCGATATCGGCAGTGCTGGCCAGTGGGTATTGTTTTTCGACATGACGATAGTCAACCCCCAAGTTGGCCTGGTCCGCAACTGGAACCAGCAGCTTTTGCAAGGTGGGCTTGTAGAGGCTGTTGGAGGTTAATGCTTGGGTGGGCAGGTCAAGACTAGGCACAAAGGATTCGTGTGATGAACAACGCAGCTAATGGACGTCGTTAGCAAAGGTTTCCCGAGGCTTTGGAGTATTGTTTGGTACCTCGGCGCAAAGAGCCTCTGTCCAGCTAGGGCTGCTTTTGCCCTTGGACTTGGAGGGTGATGCAACATCGGGCGTACCAAAGACGACCATGCGAACGGGCCCTCCAGAGCTGACATTGTAGATAGGGGAGCTCGGAGCGGTTGAAGAATATGGCCATTTCCAGTGGTTGGAGAAGTCGGCGCCAAGGAACGACTGCTTGGTTTGCGAGGGCACGAGGCAGACGAAGGTCAGGAGCAGAGCCGTGGCGATCAGAAGTTGGGACGCCAAACGGGGGACACGCAGGCACCGCGACTTGACAACGGCGTAGAGATTCGCGAGGCGCGCACGGGT